CTCCATTGCTGGTGGGAATGTAAACTATACAACCACTTTGGAAATCAATCTGGCTCTTTCTCAGACAAATAGGAATAGTGCTGCCTCCAGACCCAGCTATACTACTTGTAAGCATATATCCAAAAGATGTTCAAGTATACAACAAGGACATATGCTCATCCATGTTCTTAGCAACTTTATTTGTAAAAGCCAGAAGCTTGGAAATAACCCTCAGCTGAGGAATGGATACAGAAATTGTGGTACATTTACATAATGGAACACTACTCAGCAATTAAAAACAAGGAAATCATGAAATTGGAGGCAAATGGTGGGATCTGGAAAAGATCATCCTGAGTGAGGTAACCCAGAAGCAGAAAGACGCACACGGTATATACTCACTTATAAGTGGATACAAGACATATAATATAGGATAAACATTCTAAAATCTCTACACCTAAGGAAGCTAATCAAGAAGGAGGACCCTGGGTAAGAGGCTCAATCCTCATTCAGAAAGGCAAACAGGATGGACATCAGAAGAGGGAGGAAACAGGGAACAGAACAGGAGCTTACCACAGAGAGACTGAAAGACTCCACCCATCAGGATATAAAAGCAGATGCTAAGAGTCATAGCCAAACTTTGGGAAGAATGCAGGGGATCTTATAAAAGGAGGGAGAGATAGAAAGACCTGGAGGGAACAAGAGCTCCACAAGGGGAGCAACAGAACCAAAAAAGTCTGGTCACAGGTGTCTTTTCTGAGACTGATACCTCATCCAAGGACTATGCATGGAGATAACCTAGAACCCCTGCACGGATGTAGCTCTGGCAGCTTAGTCTCCTAGTGGGTTCCCTATTAAGGGGAACATGGATTGTCTCTGACATGAACTCAGTGGCTGACTCTTTGATCACCTCCTACTGAGAGGCGGGAACCACCTTACCAGGCCACAGAGGAAGACAAAGAAGCCACTCCTGATTAGACCTGATAGACTATAGTCAGATGGAAGGGGAGGAGGACTGTCCCTATCATTGCACTCGGGGAGGGGCATAGGAGAAGAAGAGGGAGGGATGGTGGGATTGGGAGAGGGTGGGAGAGGGGGCTACAGCTGGGATACAAAGTGAACAAACTGTAACTAATAAAAAATAAATAAATAAATAAGTAAATAAGCTTGCTAGATTAAAGAATCATTAATTTAGATAATGAGAAGATCTAAAAAGATGTTCATAATTGTATAGACTTTGTCAAAAGGCAAAAACCCAGGAGACAATCCTGGAAGTAACTAAAGAAAAAAGATCACATCATCTTCAAAGGATCCCCAGTAAGACTGGCATCTAACATGTACTCAGAAAGCATGAAGGCCAAAAGACAGTGTACGGCAGACCCTTGAATGCTGAGTAGCCCTCCTGGCTTGCTTACAGGAGACAGAGAGTAGAAGCAAGTTAACGGTGACTTCATCTTCCAAATATCCACCTTTTTAACATCCTTAGACTTTTAGGATGATTTTCTGGCTTTCTTTTGTATCTTCAAATTGTTTACCGTATGGTCCTATTCCCTTGCATCCTGATCGGGACACTTGTAGTTTTTCCCACTTAACTGACCTTGAGCTACTGTGATTTTTCATGGGGTTTGTAAATCCTGTCTGAGAGCTCATCTCCAGAGAGTTGATTTTCAAATCTTCATGGCTTATAAGTATTGCAGTTCTTTCATTTACCTAGAAAAGGGGCTTGTGAATGTTTTTAAGAAAGGTCAATTTCTATCCCAATTTAGGTTCCTAATAACATACAGTGTTCACCTTTAAACTCAGCCAGGTTGAGACCTGAACATTTGTTTTCCTATGGATAACTGCTTTTCAACTAGAGCCTGCAAAACAAACTTCCTGGTTTTCTCCACAGCTGGAAATTACGGGTTGTTCAGACTTGTGGTAGGCGTTGGGCATCATATAGTAACCCTCCCTAAGGACACGAGTGCCTCTTTGATTTTTAGACCTCAACTAGGACTTCCTCTGACTGCCTAGAATCTTAAGCCACCTCTGACATCTTAATGCATCATAGCAACGCTGGCATCTATGTACGATTCTGACCATCATTTGTTTCCTGAGACTGTGTCTGGCAGTGTATTCCAGACTGCCCACAAGCTCAGGAACATCCTCCAGCAACCTCTACGGCGTTGGCATCAAAGCTGTTGAGTCATATGCCTGGCTGGTACTTGCTTATTTGCACATGGATTGTTTTGTGGATTTGTTTGGACATTTTGTTTGTTTCCTTATTTGCTTGTAGTTTTTAGTTAGTTTATGGTGCTAATGCTTGGACTTACATTCTAAGTGAACCCTGTTCACAGAACTATACTACACAAAGATCATTTTGTATCCCCTTAAAAAACAAAAACAAAAAAAAACAAACAAAAAAATAAAACCACTTTGAAAAAAAGCAAGATATAGTTAAAGAAAGCTGACTGATATTTCAACTTTGACTTTATGAACATTAAACTTCAATGTGAAGGATCTGCCCCTCGTTTCTGTCTACACCCATTTTTTCTGATTTTAGTCTTCTTTATCTACCTCATTTTTACATACAAAATTGACTTCTACATCAGAGAAAGAAAAGATCTTGAGAAGTAAAGACCAATATGATATCAACACCGAAACAACGTCTAATTAAGTGAACTTCTCTTTGCAATAGTTACCATTTTTTAGAAGAAAAATCACCAAGAAATGTATTAAAAACAGAGAAATCAGAGTCCTCTGCAATGCATAAGGCTTCTAGTTTTGCGTTCTGTACTTCATTTATTTAGTGGCTTTGGATTATAATCTGAGAAATCCAAACATACATGTGCACTGTAGGCATGAGTTTGTTAATACTGTAGCTTAGAGTTTGTTAATAAAAAAAAAGAGTGAAGAGAAAATATTCTAAACCAAGTGCTCTGCTTGCTTAGAATCAAAAGGTATAAAGATTTCCTTTCAGTTGTTCAAAACTATCCTTACTTTCAATCGCACATTAATTATTTTTAGCCCTGATTTTATTTCAAACAATTTACCATTGTCAAGAGTCACCCTTTATACAGCATTGCTGAGAACAAGTATTTTTGGTCCTAGGGTCTGATTACGAGAGTATAGAAATGGCCTTCTTTAGAATGATTGATACACAACTCAACAAAATCCATGAATAAAGCCACATATCCAGTATTAACATTGTGCTATAGCTATAGATAATATTTATAATAATATCATTGCTACTTCTTTTTAAATCTAATTTTTCTTTATTATACAAGCTGGAATGCACCAAAATTGCCTATCATTTATTCAGTTAATGATGAACTTTGAGCCATACTTCTGCTGTTTGTGAGACTTCTCAAATGTCTAAATAAGATGAACAAAGTATTAATTTACACCTTATTGGAAGATGAAAAAAATCAAAATTATATGCAAAAACATAATAGGTATTAAATGACCGAGGCTCTGAGGATTTTTATCTCATTTATATTGCTTGGCTATGTAGTCCAGACTTTTTTTTCTTTTTCTGGGAAGGTGGGGGTTGGTGAAAACCTGCTAGTTCAGAGAGACAGAGAAAGCACCCAGCTGACCTTCCTACTCAGCTCACATAGTGAAGGAAAAAAAAAAAAACCTAAAATCCCAAAGCCAAAAGCCTGCTAGCTCTGCTGACATTCCATAAGGAAAAGGCCTGCTAGCTCATCCCGCAGCCCAGAAGGAGAACAACAAAAGTTGAAAGCCAAAGAACTAAAGAGCCAAAAGCGACAGGATAAGTGGATAGGATAGACTAGGTAGTCCAATCTTAAAACTGACTGTAAGTATGGGTTTCAGGGGGGAAAAAAGTAAGTCTGAAGCTGGGACTGCTTACAACACACTGTTATAGATTCTTTTCTTGTGTTCGTGTTTTAGTTCATTATCATAGTCACAGAGGCAGTTACCAAATAGCATTCTATAAGATTGTTGGTTTTCCAAAATTCAGACACTTTTGCTTGATGTGATAAATAAACTAACTCAAAGCATATATTTAGCCTGTCTATATAATATTTGCAACAGTTGTTTGGGTTTTTTAAATACAAATTTCATAAAGGCTTCAAAACAATTTGGTGAAAATGACTGAGCAAAACTATATTATATGAGCTCATGTCTATTTAAGTGTGTGGAAAGGCAAGGGAGAGAAATGGGTTTACATGCGTGTTTAATGGGACTTTCTTCGATTACCAGCTCCCAAATGTTGGCATGGAGACCTTTTATTAATCATGAAAGCTTGATCTTAGCTTGGGTTTGTTTCCAGCTGGCTCTTAGAACTTAAATGACCCCCTATATACTAATCTTTATTCTGCCACATGGCTTGTTACCTTTCCTCAGTCTCTTAGCCCCTGAAACTGTTTCTTCCTCATGTCTGGCTGGTGAATCTCTTATGCCTGATATTTTCCCAGAGCTCCTACCTCTGCCCAAAAGTCCCGCCTATCCTCTCCTGAATGGCTATAGGCCATTCAACTCTTTAATAAGCCAACCAGAAAGTGATGGAGGATATGTTTCCAAAACACTGAGATAGGTGATACTTTGCAAAAATAACAGTGCCAAAGTCCAGCCTGTTCTTAGCTCTCTGCTGGCACAGAAAGCAACATTTGAGTAATTCAAAGACAGCCTTTACATAGTTGACAAGTGATTATCTCAACACATGTGTGTATGTTTTTTTTCTGTGTGTGTTCAGTTTATTAATAATTGCTCCAGATTTAGAAGTTTCCTTTTCTATATTACATGATCCTTGTTCCAAAACTATTTTATTAATGATTATGATACAAAGGTATAATAATTACCCACTCTTATGATAAGTTGAAATTTTCAAATATTCCTAAGTTAACACTATCCTATAGTATACATAGGAGATGTTAGCTGGACCTTCTTCTGTTGATATCAAGAAAAACAATTCAACCTCTTTACCATAGTCGATTACTCAATGCCATGGTGGCATACCCAACAATGTGGTTGTAGAGTTTTGGAAATACCCTCTGGCACAGAACATGGACTCTACTCACGTTTGTCTTGCTCTGCTTCAACTCCTTCACTTTCTGTGTCACTTGGCAAGAGCCAGGGCTGATGTACAACCTGAAATTGCTGTAAAGATTCATCCTGCCAGAGGAGGAAAAATAGTTTAGATTAAAATCTAGGTTGATATCACAGATTTTAATGCTGTTGAGCAGTTCAGTCTCCACCAACTGAGTGTTCAAAAGCCCTAAGACCTTCCCCAAAGCAGAGAAGTATTCGAAGCTTAAATTTCTTTTCATGTCATATATCCCTTGACTCGAAAGTTACATTCTTCTTTAGTAAAATTTAGACAGTAAGAATTGAATCTGGACTGTGATCCCTTTGACCAACAATAGGCAACTGTGAATGTCCCAAACTATATTTTATAATAATGTGAGGTGTTAACACTACTTGGAATCTGAATAGGAGAAACGTAAGTACTATGTTATATCTTTACAATAATTCTGTGACACTAAAACTGTACTAAAATTAAGCCACTTATTTTAATAATTGAAGCAAAAGAAACAGAATTTTGAAAATGTTTTTCATTTAAAAATAATAGTTTGATTCTGTGTGTGTGTGTGTGTGTGTGTGTGTGTGTGTGTGTGTGTGTACCAAAACTGTGATTTGGACAGAAATGTAAATTCCTATCAAATGAGACATGGGTTCCACAGTAAAATGTCTTTGCCCCGGGATGAGGAATCCTGGCTTGTCCAAGGCTCTCAGGTTCACTTCTGTGTTACTCTTCCTGTTGCTGTGGAAACATACCTCACAGAAAAAAACTTAGGAGAAATGGTTTGCTCTGCTGTATGGTTTTAGCCCATCACAATGGTAAAGAAATGGCAGAGTCACTTGGTCTATGACAGCAGAAGCCTGTAGCAGTGACTATTCGTGTAGTGATAGGCCAGGAAGCAAAGAGAGCAGCTTGCAGCCCCAGATGGGGTCTAGCCTTCAGAGGCTCCTCTGTGTCCTGCTTCCTCCAAACCAGCCCCACCTCCTAATGACCACAGCTGCTAAAAGAGCAGCTAGTGCCACACAAAGCACCCAAAACATGAGTACATGACCATTCAGGCTCAAGACTGTACCAGTCTCTTAGAGCGGATAGACAGAGGGAAGATCGTGGGTTAGAAAATGCCTGGTGCATCACCAGCAGGCCATACCTAGGTTCTAGCTCTTCAGAAAGTTGAAAGGGAAAGATTCTAGTTGGGCTTTTGAAGGGAAATTTATCATAAAAACAAGTTGTTCAATCTTGGAATATGTAATTTACATGTAAATCGATGCTTATTCTTGGGATTAAATTTAATTTTTAAATTCTTGTCAACAATGAGATTTAGCCTTGCAAAGCTGCCCAAAGAGACTGTGTGAGAATATGAAAATATCTTTATTGTGATTAAAATTCCTTGTGTGTGTGTTTGTGTGTGTGTGTGTATGTGTGCAGAAATACAATATCAGAATGTTTGATGTACCAAAGAGGAAAACCACATTCCTGAAAATACCCAAAGGAGATCAAGCACTCTCCCATGTTTAAAGAAGGAAAAATGAAAGATGGTTTTAGTTTTCTAAGGAGAAATCAAAGGCTAGAGCTCCTCAATTAAAACATAGAGTATAAAGTAACTGAGGAAAATAATGTTTATTAATTTTGAAAGGTATTTTTGTTGTTTAACTTCTTGTCCCAAATATTAAAATCCACTTTATAAGGAAGGATGTAACTAATAAGTCAGTTTTATTGTTTTTCTCCACAGTGGTTCTAAATATTAAATAATATCATGTGTTGCCTTCCTATGCCATGCCTTGCTCCTGAGTAAGCACATTGGACTGGTCTGAGTTTATTGCAAGTGTTATGAAGCAGAAATGGTGGCAAACTTTCCACTGCCACAGAGAAATGAAGACAGAGCAAGTATTCCTATCCGAGGATTTCAGTGTTGTACTTCAGCTCTCCCTAGACAAGAGCTAGAAATAGAAGCCCCCAGTTTGCCTACCTCTGATGAACGAGAGCAATGTACGTCTGAACCTCACCCATCAACCTGTGTCTAATTCTTTCTGAAGGGGTCAAGAAGTTAAAATCCTGAACATTTTTCAAAAACAATAGCTGGTGTGTTCCTTCTTGCTAAGCTTATTCAAAAGTTTTCTGCAGTATGTTAAGCTCTATCTCAGTGAGGCACAAATGTTTTCATATTCCCAAGGGCAAGTTCTCGGGGCTGCTTCTAGAAGAAATGCCATTCATCCTTTTTCTAAAACATTTTTTGCCCTAAGTGCAGCAAATACCCAGGGACTGAGGGCTGGTGGCAATGAGTGACATGGATCCTGTGAAGAGCAGCAACTAGTCCTGAATCACCAGATCCCTCTACGTGCTCGCAGAAGAAGAGCTTTCTAAATGAGCAGAATCAGTATTCCACGTGCATAGCTTATTTTGGGATTCTCAAAATGCCGTAAATCATTAATTTATGTCACATCTGACCACAGAAGTTCGGTATATTTAAAGGAAAAAAAAAGTGTTCCTTTGTTGAAAGGAAGATTTTAATTCTGAATTAACTATTTCTTTCCCTTGGGTATGAACGCGTAAATCATGTACTGACAATGTTTCCAGTTTTTTTTTTTTGTTGTTGTTGTTGTTGTTTTCAGAAACACTACCTCAGTTTCATTTGAACTCTCAAGTCATAGAATCCCTCTAAAGCAATAGCCCATGAAGAATGGTGTATATAATAGCTTCATGGATAAAGGCATTTGCCACAAAGCCTAATGATCCGTATTCTATCCCTAGGACTTACATGATGAAAAGAAAGAGAGAACTAAACATTGTCCTCTGTCCTGCACAAACAAATACATGTAATGCTTTTAAAGCATGACATACATAAAAATATTAATCTGCTCCAGAAAAGTTTCACAGACTACTTCAGATGACAGAGAATTAATTCTGTACTTCCATTAAAGTAAAATTTCCTCTAAGTCATTTATACAGTTTAGTTAGCAAAGTTAATGCTGCTTCTTAGCACTTCTAAACTTACATGATTAGCATGAAGTTATTAATTTCTTTTTGATAAATAATGTTTCTGTAGCCCAATTATTTGGGAACAGTAAAAAGCAATTAATATATAAGAAGAGAAAATTAATAAGTCCGGGAGCTGTAACTTTTCATGAATAGGTTCTGAGAAAAAAAAAAAGGAAAAATATATAACATTAATCATAGAAAATGTTATAAATTGTCTTTTAGAGAAGGGAAGTGCAAAATGATTCAAACTACTTCAGAAAATGTAAACATCTGCCCTATTGCTCTTCTGTGTCACGCACTGGGAAAGCATCCACTGCGGTACGCAGTCCTTGCTACTTGATGACTTCCTCCCCAGAGAAGAGAATGACATCTCATTGTAGTCCATGAAAAATTAGTCACTTCCCCAGAATTCCCTTCTAGGCACTTGAGTCTATGGATGTCTGAGTCCTTGAGACACCAGCTATTTCACTCTCTGTAACTTGTAGAAAATAAGGGCACCACGAGTGATCCTTGTCTATGTAGATAACAAACTGCATCCATTGCAAATGCGAGTGATCGTTAACCTATGGAAATGAAGTTAATCTTGCCACTCCTGGCTTCTCTTTCTAATGTTATCTTAACATCCCTCAGTTGTTCTTTTCTGTGATTGAATTATCCGTTGAATGGTTATAGCATGTACCTTGTTTCTTCATTAATTTCCTGTTTCTATAAGTTTGACAGGTATTCGTGTGTGTGTGTGTGTGTGTGTGTGATTCTGTGGGTGTGCTCATGGGTACACATATAGGGAGGAACACTGAGACAACCTCAGGTGTCCTTACTCACATGTCACCCCCTATCTTTTTGAGACAAGGTCTCTCCCTGGCCTGAAGCTCACCGAGCAGATGAGGCTGCCCCAAAGGGCCAAGATTGTGGCTGCCTCCCCAGCTACGCTGCTACACGCTTCCTCCACCACATTCAAGTGTTGTGTTTTAATGAGGGAGGGCGCTACAGCTGGGATACAAAGTAAATAAACTGTAATTAATAAAAATGAAAAAAGAAAGAACTCATAATTGAGAGAAAAAATTAAAAAAAAAAAAAAACAACATGGCTTCGGGGATGAAACAGCCGGCTGTCCTTGAACTTACAAAGCAAACAGTTGACCGACTGAGTCATCTCCCCAACTTCTCTTTATATTTCTACAAGGGCTACGAACATAAGCTTTTAAGAATTTTATTTAACAACTAATATTTACAATGTCAAATCGCAATGGCAAAAACAGGATTTTATTTTGTAAAACAGAATACAGTCGACTAAGTTCCTAAAGGGAATAAACTATGATTTTGAAAATAGTTAATTTGATTTTCTGAAAGCTAGCACATCTGAAGAACAAAATGTACATCATTTGATTTCTACAAGCAAATGTGCCTTCTCCATCAGAAATCTAGCCGGAAGCTCATTTGCAGCGAAGGTCACAGAGGGTGACCCTAGGGAAGCCAGACAGGCCTGCGTGGGTGTAAGCGATTCAGAGGCGCTGTGTTGCCTAGAGTCAGTCCCTCTCCTGTTCAGATGGTGCATCTGGCAAACCAAGCCCAAGAGTCTGCAAAGCCTCCGTGTTCCCGGAGTTGAATCCTGGCTGGCGCCCTTGGAGGTGGCAAAGCTGCCACTTGTCACCCTGAGTGAGTTCACACTGCTTGTGTTGTTCCTGTTCTGTCATCACCAACTTGCCGAAGTCGTGACTGCTTTCTAAAAAGCTTCGCAAACTTTTGACTGGAATCTGTAGTTCTCTGCATTACTAGCCCTGTGTGGATATCTGTGTCCACGCCCCCATCTTCCACCAGTAACTAGGGCATTTTAAGGCAGTGTCTCAGGCTCCTTCTATACCATTCTTCTGGGTGTTGTGTTAGGTTAGAATGGGGGCTTTCAAATGAGGAACTCGGTTTACCCAGAAAACAACTCCTGTGTAACAATCAATAAATATGCTTTTATGCAACTCTTCGAAATTCGGTCCACAGAGGCTGGATATCCCTGCTGCCAGCAAAGCCTAATATCATCCTTGAGTCATCCTCTTTCTTTGAACCTCTCTTGCTACTCAGAACACCGACATTTAATATCTAGAAATCATTCTTAAAAAAAAAATAGCTAGAGAACTGTTTTTCATTGCTTGGGGTATTTGTCAACCCATGGAGACCTTTGCAAGCTTAGCAAGATGAAGACACAGTCCTTGGTATTGGGTGAATCCTAAGATTTCCTTTTTCCAACCAGCCACCAGCTGATACTGATGTAACCTCGCTTGGAGCAGGAATATCTTCAAAGCACTTCTAATCAGAAGGCACAAGTAACAAAATAAAACTCATCGGTACATGCCTGTCCTTGGTATGTAGCCCATACAAGCCCCAACGACTTCCTTTCACAGCATTAGACCAGAAGCCAGAGGCATCCCCAGCCTTTCTGTGGAAGGGTCTTGCCCAGCCCCACCATACCTAGTGAGGCTGGGATCAAGAGCTTAAGTGACCACAAAGTCCCCAATCTCTGGGGGGACATTAATTGTTCAAATACCTTGTCTTTATGTCAAATTCACTAAGTTGAAACTTAGGAGTCATGTTGTAATCCTACCATGTTTTGCCCTGTTATTTGGATGTCTGTGAACCTGAACATCTTCCCTGCTATTTCCCTGCTATTTCCGCCCTACCATCTTGTTACTCCTTCGTGTGCTTTTTGAAAAGCTCCAATTATCTCTGGGTAGATAAGCAAGCATGTAGAGAATGTGCACTCTGCATTTCTCTCCTAATGATATTGGGAAGCAAGTGAGAATTTCAGTATCCGTGTACCATCCTGAGTAGGAGCTACATAGTGTGCTCAGGAGTCGTGGGATTTTTTTTTTTAATTGACTCTTGAATTAGGAAGAAGTGGAGAAGCACACTGGTTCCTGTTGAGAAACCAAAATATTGGGTCCTCTCCCTGAATTGCCTTTTCTTTCAGCGGATTCACAATGCTTTCTTAGTGAGTACCACGGGTTTCTTTCAGGTCTTAGGAGCTCTTCAATAGTTCTGAGGGTTTCCATATGCCTGTCAGTCTCTGACACGGAACACTCTTCAGTATCTGCACACACCAGCGCGCGCGTGCATACACACAAACACATACACAAAGAATCTAAGGCATTTTCCAAGAATGTGCCTTACATTTTAATATGCACAGCAAGTAGCACCCTGACAAGCATTTGCCTATGAATGAGTACTCTTGTTGTAATAAAAGTCATGATTGTGTCTTTCTTTTTTTTCTTCCTTTTGTTTTTGCTCACCCCAGTTAAAAAAAAAAAACAACAAAACATATGCTTCTCATTATATGTATATCAACAAATGTTTGTGAATGAAAACATATGATAGCACTAGGTTCACGCACTTTCTCCTCCATTTTCAGGATGACTGGACTGCTAGAAAGTCTCTCTCCACCATGAGGAACAAAAGCGATGTGGATAACATTATTTATTGTACTTTTCTAAACATAGCCAGTGAACAGATATGTATTAGAAACCCAGAAGATAAATGGAGAAAAGCCCAGGTGAGTGGTTCATCTCACATGCTAGACTGGTGGTATGTTATGTTTGTGAGATCCTCTTAAAACTCACTTCTTCCACATAGGATTTCAAAGAGTGTCCTGTACTGGAGGCTTCTTCCTAGAGGCAAACAGAGGTTGGAAAAAGTCAGAAGGGAAAGAAAGAACAGTGTAGAGGGCAGTGAGATCTCCCTGACCCATGCAAATGATGGCTGTGAGCTCGTCACTTTGACAACTTCAGACTGTCTGAGGGAGATTTGCATTTCTTTCCAAACAATGATATAGCTTGTAAGTACATTTCAGCTCGGGTAAACAGTCAGTCAGTGAAGCTTATTAACTATTAAAGAATGCTAGGCAGGTTTCTGAAAGTTCCTAGTATTAACTTTCTAACTATGTTCTTAAAATTAGATGAAGTCATTAATTCCATGTGCTATAAATTTTCAGGAAGATCTAACATCTGCACTTAAGACTATCCTTCTGAAAAGAGTATATATTACTAATTATTTTCTTTGCATTGAGTATTTCTAGACATATTAGGGTGTGCTTAGCCATCTCTCCATTTTTTTGTGTGTTTTGCTAGTATATCACTGAACACTCGAGACCAATGACTCTGAGATCACAAAAAATTAAAGCATCAAATGAAATATATTCTAAACTATCAATCAAGTTGTTGGTTTGGATAAGTTATATTTTTAGACTGTATAAGCAGGGACATTTGGAAATAAATTCTGGGATGTCATGAGATAATAAATTCTACTACACCATATGTGTTTGAAAGATAGCTAAATGTGAATGGCGCTTTCGCAGTATCTTTTGTGACTTTTCAAGGTCCCTCATCTATGTTACCCCATAGGACTGTTGTGGGCTTCTTTAAAGTACAATTTAAGGACAAGATATCTCCAGGTCAATTTTATAGGTTGAGAAATTGGAGCTTGGAGGAGTGGAGTGAGATAAGTGAACCCAAGAGCTAAGCAAAGCGTCACTGGGACTGCGCTCAGCCTGACGCTCTCCCCCCTCACTGTGATTAAAAGATATTTATCGTAAAAAATTAAATTCACTTTGATTTTAAAAATGAGAATTTCTTTGGTGGAGTGTTGTTTTTTTATGGCTTTTTTTTTCTTGTTCTGAACAGTAGGCTACAGGAAAATAAAAGCATCATGAATTAACTTAGGAGCAATAGGCTGATATTCCTGAAAATGTAAACATTACAGATAAATATGGTAATATTTCTTCCCCAATCATGGTTTTCACTAGTGTACACACACACACACACACACACACACACACACACACACACACACCAGTATACTGCAGTGTAAGAGTCTCCAAATGCTACTAAGTTTGCGAGGTTTTTCAATGCATAAAACAGTCAAAAGGATAGGATAGTCCTATGTTCTTAAAGTATAATCTATTTGGAGAAATGAAATTCAAACAAAACCTCTGAAAACTGAGGGGTTTAACTAGAGTTCCCACGTTGAACATTTAATACCTCATTAGTTGCACAACTAACCCAAGAATCCTGTAGACCCTTCTAGTGTGGTTCTTTCATGGCTAATTATCTTCCCTTTCACCTCAGTTGCCAAGAGAAAGAGGACAAGCTGGCAAATTGCTTTTGATGATAAATATGCTAAGTGGCCATTGTGCGAATCCTGCATGTCAGATCTCTGAACACTGGAGGACATTAAGTGCAATTTCAGAGTTACCAGCTGCTCACTGATGGGACTTTATTGCTTCCAGCTAGAAAACAATGGTTTCCCAATTTGTCTAGATGACTACAATCTTCTGCCAAGAATTGGTGACGACAGAGGATTTTGTTGATGATCAAGAATCAACATATAATAAAGTAGGCTTCTTGACACCCTGGCCCCTTCAACTGTGCCAAATTTTTGAATGTCCATGTCATAGAAAAGGACGGTGAAAGGAGATGAAGACGATATAAAATTGTTCTTGTGAGGCTGACATTGGGTTAAAGCTGGCTAGTTGGGAAGTGGGAAGGACTCATGCCTTCCTGTCCATGAAAAGGATTTTCAAGTGCTCAGAAGAAATGTTTCACTGGACACACAAGCTATACTCGGCATACCTCCCATATGTCCACGTATTTATGTAAGAAACTAACAATCATCAAAACTGCAACAGTCCACACAAGAGAGTCCCAACAGAACACTGGCCTGGCAACAGCACCTTCACTAATGAGCTGGTGCCAAGTCCCCCAGGGGTCTCCAACACTAGTGAAGTTATTCTCTTTTTCCTTTAAAGAGGTCCCATTGCCTCATCCTTGTTGATACACCAAAGTTTACTGTGGCTCATGCATTCCCATCACAATGCTCTGTGGTCCCAAATAAATAGCATCATTCTCTGAGAATCTGTCTCCACTATTTAGGTTGGCTGGAGAACCCACACATCACTTGTTTCACACACTGGAATCTGGCTACAAGCCCCACCCACAAACAACTGAGTCCATGGGTTCAGTAAATGAAGAGCATAAAATTAGAGTCTTGTTGATAATACAGGAAAAGGCGTGTTCAGTGGAAAGGATTACATATGTGCCCGTGGCCAAGTGAACAGAGGCAGCAACAAGGGGTAGAGGTCTGACTTTCAGAGTTAGAAGAAGAACCAAGTGAAGGACTGAGCTCCACATGTCTGTAGCATTTTCTTCCGAGTTTTTCAAATGAGGTATCTCTCTTCCCCACACTGGGGATGCTAAGGAAATAAAACACCTTCATAGCATATATCTATCCATTTCAGTCAACATTTGCTTAGGTTTAAAAACTGGTATTTTTAATACCGAGTCATCCTAATAGCATAATGTTTTGGTAATCCCCTTTTAGAAAAGAATCAAAAAGACCCAAATGCAATTTCCCTTGTAAAACAAAGAGGGTAAAAGGCATAAAGAAGAGGAGGAAAGGGGCATGTGAAGGAGAGAAAGGGCAGGTATATGGAGACTATGCCTTTAAAAACAAAAACAAAAGAAAGCATGCTGAAACACAGTTTCACTTACCATGAATTTCTAATATAATCACAGTTGAGATAAAAAAATGTTTTAATTATGTACCAGAAAATATATGGCAAACTCAGGAAAAGTTGGAGAAAGTGAGGCTGAAGTGAAGGGGCCTTTCCAGATCACATAAGCTGTTAAGGAGGACAGTGTCTATCACCATCTTAGATACTTTACATTTGAAGAGACATTCTTAGTAATATAGAATATTCTGATAGCAGAACTAAATTTATATTTTCCTCATTTCATTTGCATTTTAACTGCTTCAATCAGTAAGTATTTTTATTCATTGCTTATTAATTTTTAGACAAAGCCAGGAGACTGGCTTTCTCCTTAGGGATATTTATTTACATCAGTGAGTGTAGTTCTAAGATACCTAGTATTAATTTCCTTCAAAGAAAGTTTCATGAAAGCCCCACTTCATTTAAATGTTCTTGCTTCTCACCTCATTCAAATAAATTTAAGCAATAATGTTAGCACAGAAATGCCTTCTTAAGGCCTGGTTAATAACGCCTTCTTAAGCATGAATGATCAAAAAGCAGGCAACAGAGTCCATGTCAGAGTCAGCCCCTATTCCCCTTGCTTGGGAACTTATATGAGGACCAAGCTGCCCATCAGCTACATCTGAGTAAGGGGCCTAGATCCAGTCCATGCGTGGTCCTTGGTTGGTGCTTCAGTCTCCACAGGCCCCCTTTGTGCCCTGGCTAGTTGACTCTGTTGGTCTTCTTACGGAGCTCCTGTCCTCTCTGGGTCCTTCTGTCTTTCTCCCAACTCTTCCACAGGGCTCCCTGCGCTCTACCCAATGTTTGATGGTGAGTCTCTTCATCTATTTTCCCTGGCCTTGTCACAGGGAAAGAGGATGTGCTCAGTCCTGATGCAACTTGATATGCTGGGGTAGGGGATGAGTCCTCTTCCCTGAGGAATAAGGGAGGGGGAATAGGGGAAGCAGGGAGGAAGGGATGGGGAGGAAAGAAGGGAGGGGGCTAGAACTGGAATATAAAATGAATAAAGAAATTAAAATTAAAAAAGAAAAGAAGTTCCTGAGTTAGTTGGCTCTCACCACAGAGGGATTGGAAATCAGTGGGATTGGCCAAGCCATTCCTAAACCCAAGCAAAACATCAAATGTCATCATCATTTATTCCAGTGAAGTACCAAGCACTTAGTGGGAGTCACAGATGTTTGTAGGTGTCAGGATAAATAGTTGAACAAGGACTTACCCCTATTATAAAAAGTTTGCCACGGGAGAACAAAGAGATAATTAGAATCAAGAACAAAAGTTCCTTGACACATGTAACATTAAGCTGCCAGAGGAAAAGCTAAGAGGAAAAAGCATTCGGGTTTCCACTCTTTACTAAGCAGTCACTGATAAAGCGGATTTATAGAGAACCTTTGTAGTCACTGCACATACAAAACGAAGGCAACGGGCAGAGTCATGCTTGAAATTATTTTCAAACACAGTCTTGAAGACTTAATGAATTAGCCGGATATCGAAGCTGGCTAAGAAGGTCTCAGAAATAAGAGAAAATTTTGTTTAAGACACAATAGAACAAACCCATGAGACCATGAGATTGACAAGGAAAAGCACTGAAGATCACAGGCCCTGCAGTGCTTGCTGCATTGTCAGATGGACGGTTACTAGCAGTGTGTTGGGTCCTAATTTTTTATACAGCAAGTGTCTGTCATAGAGATGCGGACATGGCTGATGCTCTGCACTCCAATTGCATCATGACGCAGAGTAAATGCGCCATCTTTACAGGAGGTGAGGAGAGTAAAATTCTGCTTTTTGAGCTTGCAGACCCTACAGACAATGGCTACTATTGCCCAAGACAATAAGCCAGGATGAGTGGAAAATTAACACGGTTGTCCAGACCTGGCACCTTGTGGTGAGATCAGAGGCCTGTGAAGTCACTGGTGTGTTTGTTGAACTTTGCACACTTGCATCTGTGAACAGATGCTGCTTCTGTGTAAATGCCTCAACATTCTTTCATGCCATGTGTGAAATTTATGTCTTGAAAAATTTCCAGTGCTTGTATGGATAGATATAATCTCAGAACATCTTTTCCCACAAATAGTACTTTACTTTAGTGGAGAAGATACTTGAGCACTTTAGCATGACTGAGATTAA